AGGTTCTACTCTGAAAGAAGCCTGTACTTGTTCCCATTAATCTGAAAAGCTTATAATGAAAATAGGAAAGAAAATGCAGGAAAGTTATAAAACAAACATAGAAATAATGTTTCAACAACTGATAAGAGCAAGAATGCAGATGTTTGTAGAATCCCCACCTGCTTCTCCCCGCCCCAGAGGGAGGAACTTTGATAGAGTTGTGGTTCTCTGGGAAACCCTGACTATTAACAAGCCCATGGGAATACCTTTGGTAAAGTTTATTCTCAGGACTAGTAATATTATTTTTCCTCACAGAGGATACCTGCCCACTGAAGACCCTGCCTCTTAGTAGGCACAGGGTCCTTACAAGGCATTTTATTTATCTAATGCTATCCAGTATCCCGCTTAATAGTGTGAAAGAGAACACCATTTCATTTCTCATGGTTCTTTGGGTTGACTAGACTTAGCTGGATGGTTCTTCTGCTCCATGTGATTTTGTCAATACGCTGTGGCCCTCTGGGGGCTTACTTAGCTGAAATATCAAGTGGGCTGGCAGGAGATGCTGGCTTTCAACTGGGAGTTCATCTCAGGATGTCAACTAGGGTAACAAAGCTTCACCATGTGGCTTGGGCTTCCTACAGCATGGAAGCTGGGTTTTAAGAGGGATTCTCCTGATAGCAAGCATTTCAAAAGGAAGCTGCCAGCTGTCTAATGTCTGGGTTTAGAAGTCCCAGGATGCCACTTCTCCTGCTTTCTGTTCACTAGTCCATATTTAGTGAGAAGGAAAATAAACTCTACTTCTTGATGTGATCATCAGGATGAACATATAGAGGGGAAAAATTGTTGGAGACCATCTTTGAATTCAAGCTCCCATGAAAGTTCTCAGCTTTGGTAGGTAGGAAAGCTATGGATATGACCATTTAAGGATGCCCCCCAAATCTTCCCATTAGGGGACACTTGGTAAATATCATATGCATTGAATGTAAGTGCCCTGTAATAAAGCCAAAAATTATTAGGAGCAGATAAAGTATATAGAAGACTTTTTAGAGGAGATGAGGTTTTGAGACTAATCTGACTGCGATTGTATATACAGATTGAACAACCTCATGAGATAATGCTCAGCTTATGTTTATACAATACAAACACACCAGACTGCAATCCATAATAGTGATATTTGCCCAAGTTGATGTTTTGAGCATAGAAAAAGTAGTGTATCTGTATGTTTGATTTTTATTGTAAAGACAAGCTGTAGCAAATCAAACTGACTATATTTTAAGGTTGATTCTTATAAAGCCCTATGAATCAATCTGGATCAAAGCTTTAATGGCAACTAAATAACATATTTGTGACAGATGGTGGACCAGATGACTGAATATGCATTATGTTGGTTCCTTGCCAAACAACTTTTAAGTACACAGCCTGTCGAGTGATTGAAAATGACTCATGGATTTATAGAATACATTATATTCACAGTGAAATAAAGCTAAGAAAGATCTATAGGTGCCAAAAGAGTATCTTCTGTGAGGAAAAATTCTGGACAATGCAATATAACTAATATTCTCGTAGCAATTCCATATGGTTATTTAAAAGTCACGACCTGAAGCTGCAGTGAGCACATTGTTAGCATTCTGATAAGATGGGACAGAGCTGGAATAACAAGTAGGTGTGAGGCAAGCCTGGTCTCAGAAACAGCCAGATATGAGGGCAAAGAGAAAGGGGGGGTGAAGGCGGAGAAAAACAAGGAAAGGCATAAAATTACCCATGTGGATACTCTCAAATGGATTCAAACTCAAATCTGCTTTAAGAACCAGATGGTCTGCACACAGAAAGTGTAAGAAATTTCCGATTACTTATTTATAACAGCACAACTAGTGTTTTTAAACAGCTACAAAAAAAGCTGACAAAATAGAGATTATTGTTAGAATTACTGGTGTTTTGTTAAAGATCAGGCAGGGTTAGAGAGCGACAAATGATATTAGGTGGGAGGAGCAGCTGACTAGTTTTATGGCCTTCAAGTCAATGCAGTTGATTGCACTTTCATTCAGACATTACATACCAGGGAGAGAAGTTGTGGGGTCAGAAATTTACCTACAGAGAACTCCTACACAAAACAGACCCCTCTAGACCTCCCTGGAGAGGTCCATTGACCTCCTCCCGAACCTAAGACCACCAGATGACAACACTCTCATCCTTCCTTCTCCTCCTCAGTCCCCCACGTATTCCCTCCCCGCTCAAGGTGCTGCATAAGCTGAGAGCAGTCTGTCTCTGTGGCTCAGACATATGCTGGCTTGGTTTCAGAGAGCCTGTGTGTGGCTGGGAAGGTTGTAGGAGACAGCCTTATCTTAATACATCAAGTTTTCCAAGAGTGCTGTGTCTTTTCCCCAACACAAGTTAGATGCTCTTAAATGTAACATAAGTCTCAAGGCAAATAAGGGATCAACCCTGCAGTCAGCAATACCCGTAATTCACTACCCACTCAGCTCACAGCTCTGTGCAAACTCCCAGTCTAGTGGGTGGGTGTGAAGCCATTGTTTCATCTGCTCTCTCTCTGCAGAACTTCAGGCCCTTTACAGTCATAAAGACAGAGAGAAATGTTTGCAACTTTGACAAGAGATAGACATCTGGCTGCTGCCACGTGCACACTGTGGACAGGAACCCAAATCAGGGCGATCTCACTGACAGACTTTAGCAGTTAGAACGGTTTTACCACCACGTGGCCTTTGAATTTGCTATGGGGAAGTTACCAGGGGAGGTTCCAGGCTTAACATGAGAAAACGTTTAAAAAGCATTTTAGTATGAAGAGTACCCTTCTGTCTACTCTTCTTGCTGGGGAGGCTCAGCAGGGCAAACTATATCACATCTCCTTTCACCCCAGGAAGCATGGATGGTCTGCCAGGAAGGGAAGCTGGCAGTTAACTCTAGATTCTGCATCCTCTACGAGAGACTCCTTGGGACTAAATCCTCCAGCTCCCCACTGGAGGAAACCAGCCAAAGAAAGAAGCATTCAGAGAGAACAGCAGGGAGATGGAAGGAAAAGAACCTGATCCCAAATGCAATACAAGGTTGAGTGTTCACCACACAGGGTTAGCATCTGGATTTTAATCACAGACTGGATGAAATGGAGACTCAAGAACTTGCAGTCATGTCAGCAGCTCCCTTTGGATGGGCCTAGAAAGCAGACTGACCATATAACTGCTCCCGAAGAATGTAGCAGAGGAGGGTAAGACTTGTAGCAAACAAGCCAAAGTTCCAGTCACTCTTTTCCCACAGGAGAAAACCTTAGCCCTGAAGACAAAATGACTCCACTCGCAGGAATCTCCTCTTGGAGCTAGGTAGGATTATGCCCATTAGGCCGCTGAAGAGGACATGAAAGAGGGAGAGACAACAGGATGTTACTCACAGAGGCTAGACCTCAGAGTTTCAGGATCTCTGATTATAGCCCATCTCCTCAGAGAGGTCTCCTCTGACTCTTCAGTCTAAGATAATCCCCTCCCTAGGCACTCTATCAAAACCATTTTCTTCATAGCACTTGTCACAATCTTCTATGTTCTTACGTATGTTTGTTTATCTCCTTCACTAAATGTAAGTTTGAGAGAACAGTACCCTTGTCTTTTTCACTGCTTTCTCTCAATTTCTAGAACAAGACCTGGAACAAAGTCAACATTTGGTAAATATTTTTTTGTTTCCTTCCCTTTTTCCTCTGCAGATATATTTATATGTATTTACAATTATTTTATGTATAGTTTTACATTTTTTCTATTAAATACTGTATGCATTTATTCGTGCAGCCACACAGTCTTTATAATGATAATTTCAAATGCCTGCTTAGTATTCTTTCTAAGTGCGTGCCATGAGTTTGCTGCTATTTCTGGACATCTAATTTATTTCCACTTTCTATAGTATTATACCAAAATTTATAGACAACATATAATTTAAGATCTTTTTGCATATGATTTTTACCTTCTTTTGAACAATTTCTTTAGAATAGATAAGATGAGTAAATCAATGGATTTAAACATTGTTATGATCCTTGATTCACAGTAGCCAATTCCTTTCAGAAAGAGTTGTACCAATTTAACTGACTGAAGAAGTCATGCATAGTTGTTTCCCCCAAAGCATTCACAACTCAGTAGATGGTTTTCTTTCTTCAGTGTTAATGTTTTCTCAATTATCTCCAACAATAAGGGCAGAGTAACATCTATTTCATTCTCCCATATGGTAGGTGACAATGGAGCTAGATCAGGTATTGAGACGATCATACCTAAGATATGACCTTCAATTACTTAACACCTTTAGGCCCTCCCATTGCATACAAGAAGATTTAGAGCTTGTACAAGATAGTGGGGAAAGACCATATGGGACCAAAATCCACAGGCACAAAATGGCTGCCAGAAGACAGGAGCAGTGACAAAGATAACTTTCTGCCTTGAGCTGCCCCATATAGCTACAGAACTTGGAGAAAATTTCCAAGCCTTGAAAGAGCTTTCCTAAGAGATTCCTGATAGACGTTTTCACTTTCTTGTCGTATAGTCCGTAACTTGTCTTAATTCTGAATGGTATCCCAAGAGGACACTTTACCAAGCCCCCCAGTTAAGAGTTAACCAAAGAAGGTGTGAAAGAAGGCTTAGGGCTTGAAGTCATCCTGTGAATTTACATTACTTTCCCTTGAAGGCCACGAAGGACTTCTTCTATATTGGTTTGTTTGTCCATGGTGCAATAGTGAGTAGAAAGTCACAATTATCTTTGTTTTTCATGTTTGTTGAAGTGAACTTAGAGAGACAAAAATGCTAGCTAGTATTTCAATATGCCTATCCTTGAGTTCCAGTCCAGGATGTATCTTATTTTGCTGCACTTATTAATTTTATTATAAAATCATTGGTCCTCGAAATTCCCTATTTCTAATCTTCATCACTCTTGTTTAATTGCCTTCTCATGGAGCAAAGCAGTGACTGCCACAGTAATTTGTAATGCGTGGCCTTTTGAACAATGTTGCATATTGAATAAACTACAAGTTTCTTCAATTTCATATAAAATAACTATTTTATTTAACCCACTTGCAGTTCATTTTTCAGCATAACAATTAGATACAGTTTTGTTTGAATTCCATTTCACCCTTGGTGTCTTTTCATTGATTTTCTGTCATCTAACAGTATATGTTTAATTTTCTAATTTAATTTTGATTAAAGGTTAAGCAGTGTAAAAATACATCTTCTCCAATCCGATGGAAGCTAAAGTCTGAATATTTCCTCATTTTTTCCCCTAAGTATGAATCATTTATCAGTCTCTCCTACAGGCCATGTAGTAACTATTTATATGGGATTCAGTACCAGCCATTAGAAATTTAGAAAATCCTATAAGTCTTAGCTTCTGTACTTAGTTGCTTTTAAAATTACAAACTATCAAAGGGAAATATCATCTTTAACTTCTATTCCCCTTTGCTTGCTTCTTTTTCCAATATGTTTCAGACATTTATGTTGATAAAGGATACTAATGCTCTAAAATACTGAGAAAAATATTAAAGCATTAGCTTATTACACCTTAAGCTTCTCCTGCCATTTAAGTTGCATATCGATAACGAGTTCTAATTAAATTTATTTTGGGCATGTCACAGCACAATAAAAAAAATTCATTACTATACAATAATATGATTATTTGGCTAGAGCGTAGTTTGACAGAGCAAAGACAGTGAGTTAAAAAGAAATGCTTTTTCTTATAGTGGTTGTATTGCTTTTCAAAATCTTTACTTCTCTTTCTTTCTGTCTTATTTCCTCTCTTCTCTACCTCCCTTACACCTTTATTGCTTCATACATTTACTGGCTAAAGGATTTTCTAGTCATTCAATGACTTTCTACTCATAAGTTGAGTAGGAAAGAACTCATTGTTTCCACATGAAAAAATACCAATTTGGTTTTGAAAGAGTCTAAATTAACTCTCCACTCTCAGGAAGCAGTTCACTCTTCCTGAATCATACACTTAAATCAAGGACAAATACTATGCAGCCCCCATGAAACCAACAGCTCCATAAGTAGGAACAGATCTGAGAACAATGAATAGAGTCTGGAAGGCTGAGCACAGTTGAACTTTCCATCCTTTTCCTGATTTCTCTTCTGCTGAAGGCGCTCTGACAGATCCCAAGAAAGGCATTGATTGCCTAGAAGACAAAATAGAAGGAGAAAATTTTAAATTACTTCTCCCCTTGGTTTATGTAAACTTGGTAGCAACGTGAAGAGCACTGCTCTTCACTATTTTCACTGTATTATCTTCACTGTAGTCACTGCCCTTTACTATATTTCATTATATATATCTTTCACTATATTCACTAATAAGCAATTTGTAAGACCATTGAGCTAGAATATTCTATTTTTTCAGGCAGCTACAAAATAAGTTCTACAAAATAATGAACCAAAAGCTAAGATCAGTGAAAGGAAATCTTTCTAGCACATTTTGTGACTATTCTTAACTTTAATCCCTGGTTATTGGCATTTTATATTACCTCTGTAAACACATCTGGGAAATAATTTTAGTTTCGGAGTTAGTTAGGCCCAGCTATTTTGTACTTAGAGAATCATTTACTTCTTCGTAGCATGCAACAACATTGCATTCTCGTGATTAATAGCTGACTCATTGTCTTTCTAGACTCTAAGATCTTTGGGCAAAGGAACTATGTTTTGTCATATTCACTGCCATATCTCCGGTTCTGGGCACCAGTAGGCCAGCCATAAGTATTTCTGAATGGATGAATAGAAGATTGAATAAATGAATAAATACATAATTGAAAGGTCAGCCCCAATATCAAAGGTTTCCATGGAACACATGGGATGCACTTCACTTGTTCTGTCACACAAGTAGGGATGAAGATACATACACAAAAAATCTGTCATCCTCAAGCTCATTTGTAATGTGTTTGACAAACATATTAACTTTCATCAAATGTTTTATCCTTAATCAAAACAAATATATTTGTTCTCAAAAGCTTCTTTCCCTGTTGCTGTGTGTGTTTTAACACAGGTGCATCTAGAAGACCTGTTTATACACAATTTTCCAACTCTGTAACAACTTATTCAGATATTTCAACAAGAGAGCACCTACATGAATTTTTGATAAGGGCCTTTGCTTTTTTTCTCTTTTTTTCCAATCATATCATAGAACCCATGCTTTGTTAATTGCAAACAGTCTTCAATTTATATTGATCCCGGATTCATATGTTTACTCAGTCTGAAAAATAAAAAACGTGTTTCTACAGTGCTGATTGCAATACAAATTAAACACCAGCTGGGCCTATGAGTCAGCGGTTGAGATTACTGCAGCCTTATACCATGGCGTAATTCCAGTTGTAAGATCAATCATGTACAATAAATACTCAGCATAAGCTGAAGGTTTTCTCTGAGGGGGTTGAGAAATGAGGAAGAAAAGTTTTGAACAGAAATAAAATTGAAGGAGGCCATCTTCAGCTGACAACCACTGATGTCCTAACTTTCTTGTTCATAACAGGCTGTTCCTTTTCAAGAGTGGTAAAAATGCACTGGGTGCATAATAATGCCATTTGTCTGACTGACTCACTGCAGTCTGGGAGAAAAGGTGAAGAGACAACATTTGAATGTGGAGGAGCTGATTAGAAGTCCCAACTCTGCTACTTCTTTCCTTGTTTTATGACTCTGAACAGCCACTAATTTAGTCCATTCATCTGTCAGAGCCTGAGCTCTGCCACTAGCTGGGTGACCTTGAGCAAATTAGTTAACCCTCTATAGCTATTTCCTTATCCATAAAATGGGGATACTTAGGCTATCTACTCACAGTGCTGTTGTGAAGACGAAATGAAATAACATTTGTAAACTACTTGGAACACAGACTAGAATGCAATAAACTTTTCACGAATAGCCATTACTATCATCTCTAATACAAGTTCTCTATGAAGCGTTGTACGTGCTATTCTCACATGGATTCAAAGTACACCAAAAACTGATTGTTTCATTTACTTATGTAGGCGAAATTTGGGGCCAGAGGTGGTCCAAAAATCCACCCCCTCCCCACCCCGCTTCATCTGCCCTAAAGTTTCATGGAATATCTTCAGAACCTTGGACCACTATATTAGTCTATTAGGGCCACTATAACAAAGTACCACAGACTGGGTGACTAAAACAACAGAAATTTATGTTTTCATAGTTCTGGAGTCTAGAAGTCCAAGATAAGTTACCAGCCGGGTTGGTTTCTTCTAATATCTCTCTCCTTGACTTTCAGATGTCCATATTCCCCCAGTGTCTTCACATGATCTTCCATCTGAGTATGCCTGTGTCATAACCTCCTCTTCTTATAAGGACACCAGTCATAGTAGAGTAGGGTCCACCCTAATGACCTCTTTTTAACTTCATTCTCTCCTTAAAGACGTTATCTCCCAAAATGGTTTATTCTGAAGTACTGGGATTAAGACTTCAACATATGTATTTGGGGGACATAATTCAGCCCATAACAACCACTAAACTCAGTTCAGCTATTTGTCCCTGCTCTCTGTTTCCAGCCAGCTTTGGTAAGCATTGAGCTCCTTCCCTGCTATGTGTCTCTTGGAAGGGAACTGGTATGGGAGGCTAAGCTTAATCACTAAGGGAAGCACAGAGGCCCCATCCTGCAAAGGATCAATTATTTCCCATAAGCATATTTCAGTGACCTAGAGCTAAGTGTGAGGAGGGTAAATGGAGAAATTAGGTTCCAACCAATGGAAGCTGGATTTATGTCCCCAACTACCTAAACCATCAAGGTCAGCTTTCTTCAAACAAGTTTCCAGAGCCCAAGAACCAGGCCTTAGCGTACCAGTGTCCAGGCCCTCTAAGGCCAAGCCCACCATTGCCCAGAAAATCTGAGTAGTCACATGGAGATGTCAAGGACTTGTTCCTTAGCTCTGGGCATTTGCCTCTGAGATTCAGACGAGCCCAGCTGAGGTTCCTCTCCCGCAACTGTTCCTTCTCTTTGTCAGACGTGGTCTTCGCCTCAGCCATGTCCTGCTACTGTCACCTCATCCTTGCTGTTGCTTTGGGGAGTCCCGACCACTGGCCCGAGGGTTTCTGTTCCTCACTCCCATCAGAAAGGTGCTGAAACCCTTAGCAGAGTTTCTTGTTGTGTTTTGCTGTGGGAAAGAGTAAAACTGATCCTTAAGGTTTACATCCAAGAAACTCACTGCAGTGGAGCTTTATTCCACCTTTCCGAGCACCTCTTTTCCTCATGATGTAGGAGGTCTGAGCACCCCTCCTGCAGCAGCTCAGCCATCTCTGCAGAAAACTGTTTAGCAGTAGTTAGGTCAGCATTATATGGGCATGTGTATTCCACAGATGTAATTTATCTAAATTTCCTTTCTGGGAAGGAGTGGGTTATAGTGGATGCAAAGTACATAGGCCTTAGGATTGAAAGAACTGATTAAATTCTGCTTCTTCCATTTTGTTCCTTTTTTGAATAACTCATTGGAAAGAGCCTACTATGTGCTCTGCAGCTGTGGTCTTGAATAAATAAATACTCTGCAGTTCAGTTTTTCATCCACAAAATGAGAACATGATTTCTGCTGTGCATAGTTCTTATAATAATTGAATGGCATAAGGGATGGAAAGGCCTTGGCTTATATAGTAGATTCTCAGTAAAGGTAACTACTATTATTGTTGTTGTTGTTACTATTGTTATTATTACTTCTAAGTTCAGATTAACAGAGAGTATCAACAAATAGACCCATAGTACATTGTACTGCACATACCATCTTATCAGCGCTGGTCCTTATCCCATTTCAGTGAGGTCTTCTTTTTCCCAGATTTCCTCAAATACTTCTCATTCATTCATTCAACATACATATTTTGAGTGCTAATTCTGTCCCAGGCACAGAACCCAAGGGATACAACACTGAACCAAAAAGGCATAGTCCCTGAAAGTAGGAGTCTTATAGTGACATGGGAAAGACAGACACTGAACAAGTGATTTCAGATGTGGTATATGCTATGCAGAAGTATGGAGTGCTTTGGGAGTCTAGACCAATGAGACCTTTAGCTGTCTAATAGAATGAGTTAAGAAAACACCTACAGTCTCCAAACTACACACTAATGCTGTTCATGAGTTGAAGTCTAGCTAAGCTATCAGCATCCCTGCAGTCGATTCAGCTTTCTGGATATTCCCACGACTTGTGTACATTCTGTCCAAAGTGACATTGATAGGAAAGGCATGTCCTGTCACTCCTGGGGATATATGTGTTTTTGGTTCATGAGATTTGGCTTCCACGAAAGAAATGAGAGAGATCTGACATGGCCTTTTATTATGAGAACATTCTTTCTGGGCCCTTTCCTGGCATCATAAATTTAATTTCTGCAAAAGTTTCCTAACGCATACCAGTTTCACCCGGTCAGGGTAGAGGTAGTAAGTTGGAAAACTGGCTGTGGTTTTCAATAGGAGCAATCAAAAGAAAGGAGGATGAAACCAGACTTCTGCTTCCACTTCTTTCCATGACCCTTTCCTTTATAGTACAGGTTGGATTTCTTTTCTTTTCTTGTATTTCTTTCCTTCTCTCTCTTCTTTTTTTTGGGGGAGGGGGAGGTGCTTTTCTTTTGTCTCTCCTTGTCTTCCTTTTTGTTGTTGCTTTAGTACTGTTGGAAAGAATTGAGAAGCCAAATTTTTTGTCTTCAGAAATGGAGTTGCAGAGACACTGGCAATGGGTCTATAACGCCCTGACTTCATACTCTCTGGAAAATCCATTGCAAATTTTCATTAACCAGAATGGAGTAATGTACATACACTCTGAGGACAGTTTCCGCCAGTCATCCAGTTAGGGACCTAGAGCTCTCCAAAGAGAACAGGAAACAATGAGCAATCAAGTGTAAGATAGTAGCTGTGCAATAGCTCTCTGCTTATTAAAGGTAATGAGTGGGCAGGAATGTAAATCATAAGCCAAATGAAAACCATACGTGGATAAAGCAGCTTACACACCACCTATAGTTTTTAGTGACTGCTTACATGGTTTAAAGTCCTCCTAGATCTGCAGGCAGCAGAGCTTTCTCGAGACGCAAAGAGGGTTATTTTTTGCACACTATAATCTCCACCTGTTTACAGATGCAGTGGATCTCCTTGACAACCGAGATAGGAAGGAGTTCATAGAATAGCTGAAAACCTAGATGGCAAAATAAAAACATCATGAACATTTTCAAAAAAACAACTTTTCTTCTTCTTATAAAATTAATACATTTGAAAATATTTTGTAAATAAATTTAAGAAAAATCAAAAATGTATTGAGGAATATTTTAAAACTACAGATATACAAGAAGAAAAACAATATGTTTGGATGTATAATTCTCATGCTTTTATAGGTATCTACCAACATGGTTCTTTTTAAATGATTGCATAATGTTTCTTTGTATGGAAGTAACAATTTAATTAACCAACTGTCTAGTGATAGATATTCAATTATAATTTTTCTCTGTTATAATTAATGCTGCAATAACTACTACTTCAGTGAACTGCCTTTAGCTGTATCATTGCTCAGTTATGATTATTTCTTAGGATACGTTTCTAGAAATGGAATAACTGGGTCAAAAATGTACACATTTGAATGGTCCTCGGATAATTACTGCCAAATTTTCCTGCAGAAGGGGTACTTATTTTCCCTATCACCAGCGCAGTCTTTGACAATCCACATTTCCTGGGGATATGTTCTAAATAAAAACACAATAATTTCCAATTTATTTCTTATTTTTCATGCACGAAGGCAAGCTAACTCTTGCTCATTTTTCCCTTACTTGTTCTCCTGTCCTATCCCCTCTCAGATTGCTGTTTGAAATTCTTGCCACCTGATTCTCTGTGTGTGGTCTAATGGAGCTTGCCCTTTTCTCTACAGACACTTTATTTTTTATCAGAGAGGAATGCAATGCTTAGTCTGACCCTGACTTGACAGCTCTGAGATTTGGCAATAAACTCCTCTTATCTTGCTTATCAGATCTGAAGGTCAGAGGTAAGGCTGCAAATCTAAGCGCTATTTTTGACACTGGAAGCCAAACATTCCCTGTTCTTCTGAAACATACAAACCCTCATTGTTTTCTCTTACTAAAGGCATTTCTGGGAACACTTGATTTATTACATCCTTCTTTAAGTTCGGTATAATGACCTGCTACTATGTGATAAGGAAAAGATTGATTTTGCTTTGCTCTTGTAAAGGAAGATACAACTTCCCTATTTGAAAACGCATCATTCCCAGAGCTGGGAACTGTGGTGCCTCCCAGCAGCAGCTCTCTTTGACCCTGGCACCAATTAGCAGAAAGTACTTCTGATGTCACGGCCTCCTGTCCTCCACCCCAGCAATAAACATGTAACTGTAGGTAGCATAGATCTGGACCCACACTGTGCAATACGGTAGCCACTAATCATGTGGCTATTTGAGCTCAAATTAGGTAATACTAAATAAAATTAAAAATTTGCTTCCTCAGTTGCATTAGCTACATTTCAAGTGATCTTTAAGTGAATATGGCTAGTGGCTACTGTACGGAACAGTACAGATTAAGAACATTTTCATCATCAAAGAAAATTCTAAAAATCTCCTATCTAGGCATTCGGTTTTGGTAATCTTCATAAAAGGGTTGAGGGTAAATTTAGAAACAGAATTTTCAATTTACTTCTTAACTCAGATTCAGGGTTTTTTTTTTACTTATATTCTGATCCTTCTTCCCCCAAGTTCAAGTGTTTTTTCTTTCAAAGTACCCTATCCTTTTAATTGCAACATTAAATCTCTGGTTCATGCACTGGCAGGGAATGAATATTTACAAACCACTTGCAGTGAAGAAATTTAATTGTAACAACATACAGGAATAAACTTTCGGAGGCTAATTCCCCTCATCGATGGCACATCCATCCTAGACCACTGTTGCCAACTCCGGATCCTATCTCTCTGATTTTCTGCATCCTTACATTGAGCCACCATTCCTAGAGGAAGCCTCTGGGCAAGACTACCACCTGGCCTCAGTTAAGTCACTTATTCAACACATATTTATTGAGCACTTAACGTGTGTCTAGCACCGCCCTCAGCACTGAGGACACAGTAGTGCTTCCAACAAATACAAGTATCTGTCTTCATAGAGCCATATATTTTAGTAAAGTTGTGAGCATCCTGATTTATGATTTTATGGTTTTCTTAAATACAGAAAGCCTCTTTTAAGCTTCTAACGTATAATTTGTTTTCACGTTAGATTCCCAACTATTCTCCATTTCACACTCACTCAGCTTGGATCTTCCATTCATAAAAATCCCTTTGTTCTCATATAAGACTTGCCTCAACATGCTTCTTTCAACAAAGAATTATCCTTAACTAGGTTAAGAGAATTAGAATTATTACTCCCATACAACAAGGAAGAAATTGTCCTTTCCATAAGATCTACATTAAATGAACTATGAATTTATTTCAAGCTAAATTCATAACAACTAGAATATCTTTGTACAGTCCATCTTGCTAGAGACGTGATGGACATGTACCAAATGCTTCAAAGACAAGCTTCTGAAAAAATCTTCATTAGTTTATATGCTCTGTCCAAGTGTATAAAACATTGCTTACTCAATAGACATCAATTAACCAGAGTAGATGGAAATGTGATGTCAAGGGAAAGTGTATTTTCTATGGTATTTTTAGCATTTACTCAAAGAAAATCCTTATGGCCGCAACTTTTTTTTCTGTGAATGGATGTAAGTGGACTTATTTCAGATGCTACTGTGATTCTGGGTCTGGCTGGTTCGCAGATCCAAAAGGGAGTTATTTGTGCTAGTTCTTTTCCCTACTAAGGGACATTCAGTTTGAAGGGATAATACATGTGGGAATCTGTTCAAAAATAATAATGCTAAATCATTCTGAGGACGTTAATGGAAAAGTCCCAAGTGCTGCTGAAATAGTTAATAATGCAAAAACATTCCAGATTACCTGAAGCATCCTAATTAATTGAAATTGATGACTCACTGCCTGTTCCCTGACAAGAAATAATATGGTTCTCGGATAGCAGAAGAGAAATATGTTAAAACAAATACAGCCTCTGCTGTTAAGATGTTGAAAGGCAATGTTTACATTTGTGCACACATATATTTATACTTTCTAATATTTTATTATTCAATCCTACATCACAATATTAATATCCAAAACATTGTAGGCAGGTTTCAGGTGAGATGTCTTTCCTAGATCTACATATATTGGGAAAATCGTCTTTGTGAGAGTCATTGTTTTTTTAGGGATTTGAGATGACCTTTTGTTGCTGATGCCTGTAGGCAATTGCAAATAACTTGAAGAAGATATCTGTATTACTGTTTTTTCATGCAGTGATTCATTATTTTTATTCAGCTGATGCTTTTTAACTTGTGCATTTCCTTTTTCTTCACCAAACATTTATTGAGTGCCTACTTTTAACCTAGGCACTGAAAACTCTTTGTCATTTTAAGAAATAAAGGTAGTGCTGACGTTATTCATAATAAAAAATCATTGAATGCTTGTTCATCTGTACTCAACGGTCTACTAGACACCAAGTTGGGTGGATTTTCAATGGTCTCTACTGTCTCAGTCTGTGAATGGATACAGCAAGTGTTTATCTTATCTATAGAAAAAGCGTAATTCACTCCCTACAGAGTGATGATTTCAAGGGGGGTCATATACAATAAGTCTAATTATTTTTATAGATTTTTTCAATTGTGATTTTTTAAATTTTATAGATGTTGTTTTCCAAAGTCTTTTAAAAAAAAATATTAGTTTAAGATCAGAAATGCACTGAGACTTTGCCTGAAAATGATATGTCCATAATTTTCAAGGATGTAGTGAAAACTTCTGGTTCAAATTCACTCTGTTGTTTCTTTCCCAGTATACTTTGTCTTATAATTGACTCATTTTGACTCTAAATAAGGTTATTTCTGACCTACTCTTTGTAGGCTGAAATGGTTTGGAAGGTGAAAAGGAGAAAGCTGGAGTTACTCTTTGCTTCATGAAAGTCTTTATTCATTTTTATTTCAATCATAATGTATAATTCTTAGGGTAAACACAGCCGTGTGTATGTTTGTCAAATATAATTCACAAAATATGGCTTATCTCTAATCTGACTGAATGAAATATTAATGTATGTCATAATGATGGGACTTTAAACACATACAAACCTTCTTAAAAATAAATGACAAATAAATCTGCCATAAATGCTTATATTCATGGCTACAAACTTTCATTGAAAATGAGGGACTACTCCTCAGGCACAGTGAAGACAAGAAGAATATACTGTGTTCATTATTGTGATATTCACTGGTGAGTCCTGCTGAGCCTGGCTCTGCAAGATGCAATGACTGAGTTTAGAGGACCCACATCCATGCTTGAATAATCATTAATCAAGGAGCTACTTTATGCTCCTTATAAATATGATCCCTGACTTCAAGCAGCTCAATATCCCTTCTCCTTTGTCACTGACTACTTTCTTTACATGGGGATAAAGTAATATCAAAATTGAAGCCTGGGATTAAAACAATGGAAAATTAGCATTTGAATAACTTTATGAACTGATTTCGTGTGTGCTCTTTTTCTCTCCAGTGTGACTCAATGAGGTTATTGATATTAATAATTCCATTTCCCTCAGAAGGGAAAACTCTGGCTTAGAAAGAGTAGTTTAAGACTGCATACTCAGTTAATGGCAAAATCGGGGTTTTAATACATGTCCTCAGCCTCCGAGGAGCCCTCTAGCAGCTATTTGGCTAGGTATACTATTTTGTCAATAGAACTTTGTATAAAAGAAAACATCTAAAGTGAATCCATTGTCTGAGTATAATCTTATATCATAAAGAATCCTGACCGTGACCAACTCAAGGACAGTTTTCCTTATGTTCTCCCAAGATAGTAAGACCCGTGTGGGCATATGGAGTTTCCCTGGGTGCCAGCTGCTGCTCTCTTAGCCACAGAACATGGGGAATCATGGCACTGTTGCCTTGGCAACAGGATGTGAGGAAGCCTGCCTGGGGGCACTTCCACACCTCCCCCTTGTTCTATTGGCAAGACAACAGGATGTGGGTGAGTGTGGGCAACTCAAAGCCAGTCTCCTCTGATAGCTTATTGTTAAAGCAAGAAAAAGTATGGAAGAATACTGCCACTAATTCTCACAGTGTGAGCACCCTACAGCTCACAAACCCAGTCATGCTGGGTTCAATGTCATTGTATTGGGAAAAAAGGGCAAGTAACCCAGTATCATTGCTGATTGCTCCATTAATGGGGTTCTAAAAGCTTAGTCAAATGTGTAATAATGTCCAAAAGCTATTGCCAAAATTATAGAACAAATAAAATGTAATGTCCTGGAAGCTGACAAGATCTAAGGTGGTCATAATTTAGAAAAATAAAAATAGCAAAGTCCTTCCTCTTGATTTATAAACTATACCTAAGATTGGCTGGGAGTTGGAGAAACATGGATGTAAATTCAACCTTTTCTACTTAACTAGCTTTGTGACATGTAAAGTATATATGTAGCAGTCTAGACCACTGTAGAATGGAGATAATAATACTTACCCAGCAGAATTGTGATAAAGATTAAATGAAATAATGTATATTGGTGCTTCTCATTCTGGCAATATACAGTATACTCATATTCAATTATTTGTTGAATATCTACTGTAGACACTACAATATAAGGAAGATACAAAGATTATGAGTCCTTAATATGATAAGTATATTGGAAAATACTAGATAAATGAAAGAAGAATTTAGCAGTAATGCATGGGAAAAATATATCAATAAATGAGAAGCAGCAATCAACTTCCAGAATGTCAGTGACCTCAGTAGACTCTCCCTCTAAAACAATGAAAATATAGACAAAGCAACGTCAACAAACCATTTCAGAATGTGGGCAATCAACCAAAACCACAAAACAAACAATCATCTACCTAAGAGATCTACTGAACCTCAATAAATCAGCACAGTCTGTAACATTTTACCTTGGGCTGTCTCCATCTCCTTGTCCTCCCCAGCTCAGGAACTCAGTAGCCAAAATCCAGCAGAATTGCAGACAACAGAAAGATTTGATCGCTTTTGAGCTCTATGAAAAGCACCCTAGAACAAAGTTACAATTTTTTCCAGATTTGTGGATTCTTGGAAATGGGTATGCTCAGCATGTGATGGTTATTTGATTTGACTCAGAGCTTAGCTTAGCGGGGACCAAGGGAGAAGTGGTGAACTTTGAAAAGCTCTTACATCTTTCTGGGAATCTAAAAGGCTGAGCGTGTGTAAAGCTATGTGTGCAACCAGGAAAGACCCAAGAAAGAAAAAGTCATTAGTCATTCATCTCTCCCTGACTTTGAGGCCATGATCAAGCAGGAATTGAAAGGTAAATGTGTTGTGTAAACTGACACTGTTGGTGAAAAGTAGAAGACATACTGTAAAGGCGTTTAAGGAAATATTCTGACCAACTATTGACTGACTGCTAAATTATACTGATCAAGGGGTCACCCTAGGAAGCTAAGCTCAAAAATAAAGATGAAAGCAATTATTAAAAATCTAAGTAGTCACATACAGCAGGAAAGATAGAATCTACGGAATTTGTCCAGAAACTAACTAAATAAATGTACTGCAAGAGGAAAAAGTGTAACAACACATAAACAGCAACAACCATAAATCTTGTTGGAGGAGGAATATTATTGTTACAATATATTAATGTCCAGCTTTCAACCAAAAAAATATGAAACATGAAAACAAATAGTCAAGTATGCCACATACACAGGGAAAAAAACCAGCCAACAGAAAATATTTCTGAGAAGTCCTGAGTATGGATTTAGTAGACAAAGACTTAAAATCAGATATTATAATATGTTCAAAGAGTAAAGGAAACCATGTCTAAAAAATTAAAGGAAAGTATGGTAATGATGTCTCATAGGTAGAGAATATGAATAAAGACAGGAATTTATTAAAAAGAACCAAGAAGAAATTATGAAGTTGTAAATTACAACTAAAATAAAACTTCAATAGAAAGGCTCTACAAAGGATTTGAATTGGCAGAACAAAGAATCAGCAAATTTGAAGATAAAGCAATAGAAATTATCTAGTCTGAGAAGCAGAAAGAAAAATAAAATAAAGAAAAATAAACAGAGCCTCAGAGGCCTGTGCAACACCATTAAGTGTATAAACATAAGCATAATAAAAGTTCCAGAAAGGGAAGAGAAACAGAAAGGGGGGGAAAAATGGGGGGAATAATGGCCCCAAAATTTCCAAATTTGGTGAAAAATATTAATCCACACATTGAAAAAGCTCAATGAATTCTAAGGAATTCAAAGAGATACAAAATTATGACATATATCAAATTGACAAATTCAAAGACAAAGGGAAAATCTTGAAAATAGCAATAGAAAAACACATGAAATACAGGGGGTTCTCAATAAAATTAATAGCTCACTTCTCATCAGAAACCATGGAAACTAGAGAATAGTGCAATGACATTTTCAAAGTGTTGAAAGAAAGACTGTCAGCCAATAATTCTAAATACAGATAGACTCTCCTTCAAAAGTGAAGGAAAACTAAGAAGCTATCAACTAAACAAAAACTGAGAGAATTCATTGCTAGAAGACCTGCCCTACAAGATATACTAAAAGGAGACCTTCAGGATGAAATAAGAGAACGCTAGATGGTAACTTGAATCCACATGAAGACATAAGAACACTAACAAAGTTAACTATATAGGTATTGTGGAAGATAATATAAATGTAACTTTATTTTTTGAAGAAGAAGATTAGCCCTGAGCTAACATCTGCCACCAATCTTCCTCTTTTTGCTGAGGAAGACTGGTCATGAACTAAAATCCGTGCCCATCTTCCTCTACTTTATACGTGGGACACCTACCACAGTGTGGCTTGCCAAGCGGTGTCATGCCCACACCCGGGATCCGAACCGGCAAACCCCAGGGTGCTAAAGTAGAACATGCGAACTTAATTGCTGCACCACCGGGCCAGCCTCTAACTGTAACTTTTGTTTGTAACTTTTTTCTTCTCCTATTTTAAAAGACAACTACATAAAGCAAAAATTATAAATTTGTTGTGATGGATTTGTAACATATAAAGATATTGTTTGCAGAATAATATTAGTACAACGAGGGGGTGAGGAAATGGAGTTAAATTAGAGCAAAGTTTTTTGTATACTATTGAAATTAAGTTAGTAATGTAAATTAGATTGTTTTAATTAGCATCCTAATTGTAATTCCCAGGGCAACTACTAAGAAAATAACTCAAAAAATATATTAAAAGAAGCAAAAAGAGAATCAAAAAGATACAACTAGATTTTATCTATTTAACATTTGAAACACACCAATTGAGGAATAGAGGAGCAAAAAAGACATAGACCTACAGAAAACAGATAGCAAAATGGCAGATGTAAATCCTACCTTGGTATTAAATGCAAATGGATTAAACTCCCCAATCGAAAGTCAGAAATTGGAAGAATATGTTCCAACTCTATCTTGTCTACAAGAGACACACTTTAGATTCAAAGACAGAAATCAGTTAAAAGTAAAAGAATGGAAAAAGATAAACTATGCAAACTACAAGCAAAAGATAGCTGAGGTAAAAATGCTAACATCAGACAAAACCATGTTAAGATAAAAATTGTTGCTAGAGACAACAGACATTTTATAATAATAAAAGGTCCAATTCATTAGGAAGATAAAATGATTATAGACATATATGTACCTAACAACAGTGCACCAAAGTACATGAAGCAAAAACTGACAAAACTGAAGAGAAAAACAAACAATTTAACAATAATAATCAGAGGCCTCAATATCCCAATTTCAGTAATAAATTGAAAACAAAGCTGATGATGAACAAAAAAACTGGAATATTTAAAGTACACTACAAACCAACCATATCTAACAGACATATTTAGAATATGCCACTCAACAGCAGGAAGAATACACAGTCTTCTCAATTGCACATGGGACTTTCTCCAGCGACCTTCTCCAGGATAGACCATATACTGGAAAAAAAAAAAAAAAAAGCTATAATAAAGTTAAAGAATTGGAATCATACAAAGTATGTTCTCTGACCACAATGAAATTAAATTAGAAGTCAACAACAGAAGAAAATTTGAAAAATTCACAAATATGTGGAAAATAAACAATATATTCCTAAATAATCAAAGGGTCAAAGAAGAAATCACAAGGGAAATTAGAAAATATTTTGAGACAAATTGAAACAAAACAAAACATACCAAAATTTATGGGATGCAGCTAAGCAGTTTTTGGAGAGAAATTTATAAGCGTAAATGCCTATATTATAAAAAAAAAAAAAAATCAAATCAATAACCTAACCTTTCACCCTAGGAAACTAGAAAAATAAAGAGGAAATTAAATCCAAAACAACTAGAAAGAAGGAAATAGTAATGATTAGAGTGGAAATAAATGAAGTAGAGAATAATAAACCCAAGAGAGTAAATAAAAAGAATAAACCATTCAACAGAATGGACACACTTTTAACTAGATTAGTCAAGAAAAAAAGAGACTCAAGAGAAGATTTAAATGATTAAGATCAGGGAAAAAAGAAGGGACACTGATATTGACTTTACAGGAATGAAAAGAATTATAAGGGAATAGCATGAATAATTGCATGACTGGGCCAGCCCGCTGGCTTAGTGGTTCAGTTTGTGCACTCCACTTCAGCAGCCTGAGGTTTGTGGGTTTGGATGGCAGATGTGGACCTGCACACTACTCATCAGTCATGCTATGGCAGTGTCCCACATGCAAAATAGGGGAAGACTGGCACAGATGTTAGCTCAGCAACAATCTTTCCTCAAGCAAAAAGAGGAGGATTGGCATCAGATGTTAGCTCAGGGCCAATCTTCCTCATCAAAATAAGTACATAAATAAATAAATAACAATAATAATTGCATGACAAGAAATGAAGTAAGTTGGATGAAGTAGGTAAATTTCTACAAAGTCACAAGCTATTTAAAGTGACTCAGAAAGAGAAAATTTGAATAGATGTATAATAAACAAAGAGAATGAATTAGTAATTTAAAAACTTCCAACAAAGGAAGGCATAGGTCAAATGGCCTCACTAGTGAATTCTACCAAACATTTAATAAAAAATTAATACTAATTCTTCACAAACTCTTCTAAGAATAGACGAGAGACTTCCCAGCTCATTCTGAAAACAGTATTACATTATGCTGCTGGTATTAGAATCAGAGAAAGATATCACGAGAAAAGAAAATGACAGATCAATATCCCTATAAATATATAAGCAAAAGCCCACAACAAAATACTAGTACATCAAATCCCACAACATAGAAAAGGATTATACACTGGGAGTATATAATCACCAGTGAGATTTGTAGAGGAATGCAATGTTGATTTAGAATATGAATATCAATCAATAGATGCAGGAAAAGCATGTGATAAAAATCCAATACACCTTCATGATAAAAACACTCAACAAACTAGGAATAGAAGGAAACTTCCTCAACCTGATAAGGGACATCTATGAAAAACCCATAGCTAACATCATGCATAATAGAGGAAAGACGGAGTGTGTTTCAGTATCATCAGTAAAAAGACAACAATGTCCACTCTCAACAGTTCTATTCAACATTGTACTGCATGTTCTAGCCAGGATGATTAGGCAAGAAAAAGTTAAAAAGGCATCCATATTAGAAGTAAAACTCTATTTGCATGTGACATAACCAAAATTCTAAGGAATTCACTAAGAAACTATTAGAACTAATAAACGAGTTCAGCACTATGGTAGGATACAAGATCAAGAGACAAAAATCAATGGTATTTCTATACACTAGCAATGAACAAGCTGAAAATGAAATTAAGAAAATGACACCATTTATAAAAGCAGCAAAAAGAATAAAGTAAATAAAATTAAATTTAACAAAAGAAGTGCAAGACTTCTACACCAAAACCTATAAATATTATTGAAAGAAATTAAAGAAGATCTAAATAAGTGGAAAAACATCCCATGGTCATGGATCAGAAGACTCATTGTTAAGGTTACAACACTCCCCAAATTGATTTACAGATTCAATGCACTCTTTATCAAAATTCCAGCTGGTTTTAGTGGGGTTTTTTGCAAGAAATTAACAAGCTGACCCTAAAGTTCATATGGAAATACAAGTGACCCAGAATTGTCAAAACAATGTCAAGAGCGAAGAACAAAGTTGGAAGACTCTCATGTCCCAATTTCAAAACTTACTATAAATCGGTAGTAATTATGCGAGTGTGGTGCTGGCATAAGGAGAGACACATAGATCAGTGGAACATATTGAGAGTCCGGAAATAAACACTCATATTTATGGGCAATGGATTTTTGACAATGAGTTCAACAAAGTCAAATGGGAAAGAATAATCTTCTCAACAAATGGTTCTGGGA